GGGTGTGGCTTGCCAGCCATGTGACTGGGTAGGAGTGGTTTGTCAGCCATGTGACTGGGTGGGCATGGCCAACTTGTAAAATGTGGTGAAACTCACTTAACAATGCTCTTGCTTAGCAACCAAAATGTTGGCTCAGAAACTCTGGCATTTGAACCAGACAAGTCTTAAAGCTGTCAAGTTTGAACAAATCCCCTGGGGTTTTTTTCCTAAAGGGTTAGGGGTGCAAGGGTCTTGTAACTTGACAGCTTTAAGACTTGTCTGCTTCAAATGCCAGAGTTTCTGAACCAATATTTTGGTTGCTAAGCAAGAGCATTGTTAAGTGAGTTTCACCACATTTTACAAGTTGGCCATGCCCACCCAGTCACATGGCTGGCAAGCCACTCCCACCCAGTCACATGGCCGGCAAGCCATTCCTACCCGGTCACATGGCTGGCAAGCCACTCCCACAAAGTACGCCACACCTACAGAAGAGGTTCTAAAAAATTTTGAAACCCACCACTGGACAGGACCTATAATATTCCTGGTCTCTGGTAGGTTGGGTAGTTGTAGTTGGGAAAAGATGGTCCTTCAAATAATTTGGCTCCTAGCCATGTAATGTAGCATGATATAATGTATATATGTGTTCCTTCTAAGGTGGATATATAATGTAGGTGTACTGGCAAAATATATAATAGAACAAAATGAGAGAGAGGGGAGGGAAGAAGGGAGGGAGGGAGAGAAAATGTATTGAAATAAAATAAAGGAATGTGATTGCATGTAAAATGGAAGAAAGAAAAGCTGGCTTGAGGCTTTCTTTGGCTTTACTTATTTATGTGATCAAAATAAGATTTCTGATATGGAAACAGCCCGAATCTATTTCATATTACTATGACAAGTTTAAGATGTCAAGAGCACAGGTCTTTCTGGCTGAAAATCAACTGGCTGATTAAATTTGATAGCTTTGTAATAGAATTTTATAAAACTTCTGCAGAGGTGTACAGCTTAAAAGGAAAAGAAAAGAAATTCTGCATGCTGCATAAGTTTTTTTCCCCCTTCTAGGTTTATTACCACCCGCTCCCTTAAACTCAAGCTTACAATTTTTTTACTCTTTGCTTAAAAGAGTTGCTAAATTTAATGTGTAGAGAAGGAACAGCGAATAGGAACATCTACATGGTTCTGATATGTGAAGAAGCAAACTAAGAAAAATGAGTTCCACAAACCTAAAATACGCATACGTGCATACATACTGTAGAAAGCTAGCACTCACCCTCTCCTAGAAGAATGAAATATTCTAGGAAATATTAAAAAGAATATTATATTTCCCTGGATGAGAAATAGGAAAATGTGGGGTTTTTTGAGGCAGGAGGCAGACTCATTCTTAATAGTCCCTACCCTCCTCAATAGCCCACAGCAGATGTCAGCACTTAAGAGATAGAGAGATGGCTGGGTCTAAGCAAATAGCCTCATCCAAGAACCACCGAAGGTAGGATTAGCTCTCAGCCATGATAGGAATTGACCAAATCCCCTTTGTTGCATCACCCAGCAAGATTCAACCAAGCCTTGGACATAGACAGCCTACAAAGTTAGCATAGCCCCCAGGAGTCTGACAACCAATAGGATACATTTCTTGCACAGGAAGAGGAAGTCGGGAGAGAGAGAGAGAGAGAGAGAGAGAGAGAGAGAGAGAGAGAGAGAGATTGTATGTATGTATGTATGTATGCATGTATGTATGTATATATGTGTAAATATAATGTGGTCAGCTACTCAGAATCACATGTGCTTGGCAATTTTATTTTACCATTAAACCATCCTTATAAGCAGCTGGCATTTTTCCAGTGTCTTTCTCCCCACTTGGAACTGAAATGGTTTCTTCCAATGATACCTGTGTGCATATATATACATACACATACATGCATACACAGTATGTGTGTGTGTGTGTGTGAGAGAGAGAGAGAGAGAGAGAAAGAGTGGTGGGTTCCGGATCCCATTGCAACCAGTACGGTGCAGTGGGGCCTGGCGTCCACCATGAATGCACGCACCATGCGCACACACATGTTCAGCGTGCACATGCGTACTTATCGCCCCCGATGCCTCTGTGACATTGCGCAGGTGCCATATGCTCTGTGCATAAGCCCCAAAAACCTCAAATACTGGTAAAGAGTGAGGGTGGGTGGGCCCTCCAGAGCACCATACCAGAGTGGTACCTCATGCTTCCGGCAGGCACCAGTACGCCTGTACCGGGGTGTACTGGTGGTAACCCACCACTGGTGTGTGTGCAATATAATCTGTAGAATAGTGCTTGCAGATAGAAAGCTGTATCGCACAGCAGTTGGTTTCCCAGGCGATGCTTTTGATCAGTGTTAACATCTTTGCCTGCAGTTGGTGAGAAGCATATCAAATCTGAATGCATCAACGAATGACAGAGTTCATTTGCAAGCTAAATAGCCCTGGGAAAGACACCCATACATTTTCATTTACTTCTGAAAACAAAAGATGCTTTCTGTTTCCTGCCATTAAACTTAAAATAATTTTATTTCCACATTTCTTATTTTCTGCTGTGTGTAATCTCCCCTCCCATCTCTCTCCCTCCCCTCTCTTTGCCTGTCCAGTACAAATCTCTCTGTACAGAAAGTTAATGCACAAACACGTTTAATATGAATTTAACAAACAATGGATAGTTTGGGGTATCAATTGTTTCTATGGCAACGTACTCGGGTTGGAGAATTTAGAGGCAACTGCACAATTATGAAGATGTTTTGGAGAAATTGGACATTTGTACAGATGTAAGACTTAAATAAAATAGAAGTGTTTTATTATCACCCAGTGTAATTTTTCTTTAGAAAAAAGTGGAAGAATACATAGTACTCAAATACTTTCTTTATTGAATAATAGTCTATGTTGGGTTAAATAAAGATGAGGCTAATATAGATATCAGCATATCCCTTGTCACTTTTCTTTGTGCCCCCCTGGCTGCATATCACAGTTGAGCTTTTGTTTATAAACTGGAACTCAATTACACTAGTATTTTAAAAAAATAAAAAAAGTTATTGTAGCCAGGTTTTGTTCATATGTAAGTCAGCCTGCTCAGAAGAAGAATAACCAAGCTGGGATAACAGAAATCATCCCTGGTAAGGCACTAGTACTCTGAGAAAATCCACCTGATAATCGAAGCATTCCAAGATGCTAATAACTCCTAATCATGATTTTACTGCTTCACTAGATCTCAAAGTCAAGCCACAGTACAATTGCTCTCCATAGGTTGAGGCTGTTGGCCTTTCAACTGTTGTATCTACCCTTGGAATTCCAAACTTAATCCTCTCAGAAAATTCCTGATTTGTTTTTCTCTCTAAGACACCTGGCTTCTTTCTAGGGATCCTATATTGAAGATAGCTTGGAAGCATATTTTGAACTTGCTAACTGGGACATATCTTGGCCAAAATCTGAAGGACTACCATATTTTTTAAGATGTGCTTGCCCCCCCCCCCCAAAAAAAAAGTGGGTAGAAATGTTTGTGCATCTTATGGAATGAATATTGCATCACAGGCTGGGCTGTGGCAGTGGGGTCTTTTTACAGTGCTGAATCCCGCCTCTTTTGTCTTTGTCATTGCCTGACTTTTCTATCTCTTTTCCACAGTGCAGGAGTCAATAGGCGGAGCTGGCACATGAGAGGACAACTATGGGTTGATGAGTTCCCCTCCCCTCTCGACCTGTGTGGTAGTGTGATTCTTGGCTATTTTAACTACTTGTATTGTGTTCTATGTTTCCCTTTTTCCCCCTTTGAGTTGTTTGCCGCCCTGAGTCCCTCCCGGAGAAGGGCGGCATACAAATAAAATAAATCTAAATCTAAATCTAAATCTATAGAGATTCTCAGTCATCCAGGTCACAGTTGTCCCAAAGGGGCTTTTTCAGGAGGCAACTGAATGGTGCGGGATGGTGTGTGATCCACCGGAGATGGTAAACTCATAAATTTCCAGATGCATCAGGTCTTCCTTCAAACAGAATACTTTTGTTGGCCAAGTGTGGTTAAGATACATAAGGAATTTGTCTCCGGTACAAACGATAACTATACTGAACTGACAATGGCAGGCATTCCTTTTTTAGGCAAAATAAAGCCCATTACCAAAATCAATTCCCACCATCACCACAAGAAAAACTTGGCCTTTTACCTGTATTTGATTTTCGTATGAGACGGAAGATCCCTGCTGGAATACTGCTTGGAGAGCTGACTTAANATTACATCTAGTTTTGGCTCAGGAACTCTGGCATTGAAGTACGGAAATCTTAAAGCTGTCAAGTTACAAGACCCTTGCACCCTAACCCTTTAGAAATACAATCTCCAGGGATGTTCAAATTTGACAGCTTTAAGATTTTAAGGTTTAGATAGGACTCTTAGAGGTGGGCGGGGCGATTGGTGAGCCAGCCAATCAGCGAGCGGCGGCCGGGGAAAACGTGGTGCGGACGGGCAGGGGGAGGGAGCTGGAACCGGTTCTAAATGGCACGGTAGATTTGTGGAACCTCTTCTAGAGAAGAGGTTAGAACTGGCAGGAACCCACCCCTGAAACGCACTTATGTTTATATTCACTTTAATTAAATGAAGATTTTAATTCAGAGCTCTATAAACTCACAGAAAGTCAAAGATATTTTTTCCCAGTGAAACAAAGATCTTGGTTTTTCAATATTAGGTCTCTTACTAGGGGAAAAAAAGGGATCTATGTATTTTCTCACCCACTTTTTGCCTTCTTACTTTCCATGCCTCTCTCTTCCCCTGCTCCAGAAGAGCAAATGTGTTCCCTTTTCCAATAATTCCCTTCAGCATGAAGCAGCTTTTATGCTCTTCAACAAGTGTTTGGTGGGAAAGCGTTGATACTTATTAATCTGTTTCTTGTCTAGAAAGTGGGCTTGTGCATGATTTCTGGCAAAACTGGCATTTTTGATTGCTCCCGATGTCTGCTGCAGGGTGGTTACACTGAACAGATGTGGTTTGGAATTGTTGTTCTTTGTAATTACCCTCATTAAATGAAAGCATCTGTCAATCAGCTAGGTACTTTATACACACCAATCACTTGCAAGAGATTTACATGTATATATTTTATACACATATGTGGGGGGAATATCTAAACAATGTGAGCACTTCATTAGATTTAATAATTTGACAAACATATGCTAGTTACTTGAGACCTGTTGATAAATAACCTACCAATTGGTTTCAGGTGCTTTGTGGCCTGCAATATTATACACCCTTTACGGCACAAACAGCATGGATTGAATCCTTCAGAATGAAATACTCTTAATATACTATGTATTATGTGCACTGGATAGGAGAATCATACACAGTCCATCAGCATTAAAGAAAAAAGCCACTTCTCCTTTAAAAACATCTAGCTCCTTTCAGATATTTAAATTTTGTCAAAACACATTCTAGTTTTATCTCACCTCCCTACATTGAATGGAAACTGAGTCATTCTGCAGGAGCAAACAGCAACATTCCTTTTCTGGTTTTCCTCCATAAGTACTTTGTATAAGGCTGGTACATATTCTCTCCCTATTACACATTTTGAATGCCAGAAGATTTTTAGGGAGACCTGTTTCCAATATATAAAGCGTGGTATAACTACCGTATAGATCCAGTTTGTCTACTTTCTTTTAGTGTTCTTATACAGGTAATCCTCCACTTATGACCACAATTGAGGTCATAAAAATCTACGTTGCTAAGCGAGACATTCGTTAAGTGAGATTTGCCTCATATTACGACTTTCCTTGCCAGTTGTTAAACCAGTAACAGGGTTGCTAAGTGAATCTAGTTTCCCCGTTGACTTTGCTTCTCAGAAGGCCACAAAAGATACTGAGACCGACATAAAGAGCCGAGGTGGCGCAGTGGTTAGGGTGCAGTACTGCAGGCCACTTCAGCTGACTGCTATCTGCAGTTCAGCGGTTCAAATCTCACCGGCT